CCCATTGTGTGATGTACCCCTCCCTGCGTCCCTGTTGTTCAACTCCTACTTGTGAATGGGAACTCGCGGTGTTTGGTTTTCTGTTCTTGTGTTAGTTTGCTGAGAATGATGGCTTCCAGCTTCATCCATGTCCCTGCAAAGGACATTAACTCATCCTTTTTTATGGCTGCATAGTATTCTATGGTGTGTATGTACCACATTTTCTTTATCCAGTCTATCATTGATGGGCATTTGGATTGGTTCCAAGTCTTTCTAATTGTGAAAAGTGCTGCAGTAAACATACATGTGCATGTGTCTTCATAGTAGAATGATTTATAATCCTTTGGGTATATACCCAGTAATGGGATTGCTGGATCAAGTGGTATTTCTAGTTCTAGATCCTTGAGGAATTGCCACACTGTTTTCCACAATGTTTGAACTAATTTACACTCCCATCAACAGTGTAAAACCATTCCTATTTCTCCACATCCTCCCCAGCTTCCGTTGTTTCCTGACTTTTTAATGATTACCATTCTAACTGGCATGAGATGATATCTCAGTGTGGTTTTGATTTGCATTTCTCTAATGACCAGTGATGATGGGCTTTTTTTCATATGTTTGTTGGCTACATAAATGTCTTTTGAGAAGCGCAGACAGCTATTTTCTTCAGAGTTCATTGTTGAAGGAGAATCTACCAAATGCCAAAAGATGATGTGTTCAAACCATCTGTACTTTATCTAAATGTGTAGCAAACCTCCATACTGTGTAATTACTTCTCATACTTAAAGATTGCTTTCCTTGTATCTTCAAACAAAATGTACTGACAATGAGGAATGCATTTTTGTTTTTGTACTATTTTCCATATATCCCTTGAGCCATTAAATTGGCAACAGTAATAACATTTCTCCAATGGTACAAGGTTTGTTAATATTTTTCTCTAGTAAGTAAAAATGTAAAATAGGCTTCACAATTTATAATAAAATTTAATGTAATTTTATGATTGATTACATATGACATGACCAAAATAACAGAGACAATTATAATGCTTAGATTTTCATTGTTTTGCTAATCATAACTTCATACTATATTTTCTTTAAACTTTTAAGTTCAGGGGTACATATACACGTTTGTTACATAGTTTACACTTGTGTCATGAGAGTTTGTTGTACAGATTTTTTCATCACTGAGGTATTACACCTAGGACCTAATAGTTATTTTTCCTGATCCTCTTCTGCCTCCCACCCTCCACCCTCTTGTAGGCTACAGTGTCTGTTATTCTCCCCTATGTGTCCATATGTTCCCATCGTTTTTCTCCCACTTATAAGTGAGAACATGTAGCATTTGGTTTTCTGTTCTTGCTTTAGTTTGCCATGGGTAATGGTCTCCAGCTCCATCCATGTTCCCAGAAAAGACATACTCTCCTTTTTCATGGCTATATAGTATTCTGTGATGTATATGTACCATATTTTCTTTTTCCAATCTATCAATGACAGGCATTTAGGTTGACTCCATGTCCTTGCTATAGTGATAGTGCTTCAAGGAACATATACTTGCAAATATCTTTAAGATAGAATGATTTATATTCCTTTGGGTATATACCCAGTAATGAGATTGCTGTGTTGAATGGTAGTTCTTTTTTAGATATTTGAGAAATCACCACACTGTTTTCAACAATGGTTGAATTAATTTTCACTCCCCCTGACAGTATGTAAGCATTCCTTTTTCTCTGCAATCTTGCCAGCACCTGTTACTTTTTGTGTTTTTAGCAGCCATTCTTACTAGTGTGTGATGTTATCTCATTGTGGTTTTGATTTGCATTTCCCTAATAATCAGTGATGTTGAGCTTTTTTTTCATATGTTAGTTGGTTCCATGTACAACTTTTTTGAGAAGTGTCTCTTCATGTCCTTTTCCCACTTTTTAATTGAGTTGGTTTTTTTCTTGTAAATTTGTTTAAATCCGTGTAGATGCTTGGTATTAGATCTTTGTCAGATGCACAGTTTGCAGACTTTTCTCCCATTCTGTAGGTTGTCTGTTTACGCTGTCGATAGTTTCTTTTGCTGTCCAGAAGCTCTTTAACTAGATCCCATTTGTAAATTTTTGCTTTCGGCGTCTTCATCCTGAAATATTTGTCTGTTTCTGTGTCCAGATTGGTTTTGCCTAGGTTGTCTTGCAGGGTTTTTTGAGTTCCTTGTGTATTCTTGATATTAATATTTTGTCATAGTTTGTAAATATTTTTTCCTATTCAGGTTATCTCTTCACTCTGTTGTTTCTTTTGCTGTGTAGAAGGTTTTTGTTTGATGTAATTCCATTTGTCTATTTTTTGCTTTTGCTGCCTGCTTTTGAGGTCTCATCCATAAAAATCTTTGCCCAGACCAATGTCTTGAAGCATTTCTCCTGTTTTCTTCTAGCAGTTTCACAGTTTCAGGTGTTAAATTTAAGTCTTTAATTCATTTTGAGTTGATTTTTGCCTGTGGGGAAAGATAAGAGCCTATTTTTATTCTTTTGCATGTGGATGTCATCATCATGTTAGCAAACTATTGTGCAGACTTTTTTTGTGTGGTTGCTTTATAGTATCACTGGTCTGTGTATTTATATATGTTTTTGTAGTGGTCTTTGCATATTTTCTGCTTCCTTCAGGAGCTCTTGTAAACCAGGTCTGCTAAGAATTCCCTGAGCATTTGCTTGTCTGAAAAGGATATTACTTATTTATTTAGTTAGTTAGTTAATTTGGTCAGATACGAAATTCTGGGTTGGAATTTTTCTTTCTTTTTTTTAAGAACATTGACTATTAACCCCCAATTTCTTCTGGCTTGTGGGGTTTCTGGTAAGTGGTCTGCTGTTAGTCTTACGGGCTTCCCTTTGTATATGACCTGATCTTTCTCTGCAGCTGCCTTTAACATTTTTTCTTTCTTTTCAGCCTTGGAGAATCTGATGATTATGTGTCTTGGGGGTGATCTTCTTGTGAAATATCTTACTGGGTTCTTTGCATTTTCTGAATTTGAATGTTGGCCTCTCTAGCTAGGTTGGACATGTTCTCATGGATGATATCTTGAAATACGTGTTCCAAGTTGCTTCCAGTCTCCTCATCTGTTTCAGGGACACCAGTGAGGTATGGATTTGGTTTCTTTACATAACCTCATATTTCTCAGAGATTTTGTTTTTTCCTTTTCATTCTTTTTTTCTCTATTCTTGTCTGACCGTCTTATTTCAGGAAGCCAGTCTTTAAGCTCTGCTCTGCGATTCTTTCCTCAGTGTGATCTATTCTGCTATTAATAGTTGCAATTCTATTATGAAATTCTTGTAGTGAGTTTTTCAGCTTTATCAGGTCGATTACATTCGTTTCTATGCTGGCTATTTTGTCTATCAGCTCCCATATCATTTTATTGTGGTTCTTATCTTCCTTAGATTGGGTTTTAACATATTCCTGCATTTCAGTGACCTTCATTCCTGTTCATATTCTGAATTCTATTTCTGTCATTTCAGCCATCTCACAGTTCAGCACCCTTGTGGGAGAGGTAGTGCTGTCATTTAGAGGAAAGAAGGTACTCTGGCTTTTTGAGTTGTCAGAGTTCTTGTGCTGATTCTTTCCCATCTTTACGGGCTTATGTTCCTTCAATCTTTGATGTTGCTGACCT